GAATGCTGGCTGCTCAAGCTATATGCCAACACAAGCAGCTTAAACAGTAGGTGGTGACCCACAAAGTTGGTAATACCCTTGAATTCCCCACCTTTTCACAAGGAAGCCACACAAGCCATTTCAAAGATACCAGGTTCATTCTGACATATTGCTCCTTAGAAAACATAGAACTTTAAACCAATGCTTCAAATGACATGTTACATATTTAAACAGAAAAAGACTTAAAATTTCTGTGCAAATTTAGTTCATCCACCCATAAGTTAGGAAACAGGTTCAAGAGGTTTACTTTAACAAATCATGTTAGGGTAGAATTAACAGGTAAGTACAGCATTTGAACACTACAGTCATCTAAACAGCATTTTGTGGGCAGCGTACTACATTGAGAACTCAGTATGTTTTTAAGAGGCAGGCAGGTATTTTACATAGATTTCACACCTGCCAAAGTAAGTCCTGTAACAAAGTGATTTAGCATTATGTATATAATAACACTGATCTTTAGGCAAACAAACACATTAAACCAACATATCTGAGGACTGCGAGGAATGTTACAGCTGGTAGGAGCCTGCTACAAAATCCTTAAGGATGCATTGCTGTGTTGCTGTAAATCTTAATTCGGGACACTGGTGAACAGCTTTAGCAAGAGACCTTATACCAGCCACTTTAAAGCAAGCAGACATTTCAAAGTCTTCTTTTGGTTGCCAGAAGTTTAATCTTGCTTCACTTCACCCTTTAAGTGCCTTTTCATACGTGAATATGGGCTGATTGTGTCATCCATCACGAAGTCATATAGTACTTTTACCCAAGAGTTATATTGTGGCAGGTTGTCATAGTATTCAGCTGCTATTTTCTTCACCTAAAGAAAAAATACAAGGTTTATTTGCTATTTGTATTAGCACTAATAATGAAAATTCACAATCCTCAATGTGTAAATTAATACAGAGCACTAGAAGTCTCATTTTAGCTGTTGAGAGTCTATAAGGAAGGCTACTAGTACCACAGTATGAAAGTTTGTTGAAGAAAAAAGTTACTCCCTGATTGTTAAGTAAACATCATGTGAAACTTTTCTACTGAAGCCAACTAGAACAAGCTGCTAGCACTGAAGTCCATTCACTGTGCTACCTACAGAATGATGTAGCTCACAAAAGTACTTCGGTTGCAGTGGAAGTGGGTGATTCAGTTCAGTGCTGACTCATACGAGTTATCACCAAAAAGGATGCTTTATGTTCTAGGAAGAGATGTTGAAACACAGCTATTTTTACATGTAGCTTCAAGTCATAGCACACAAAGAAAAAAAAGCATCTTATTTCTGAGGTACATCCTGTTTCTGCAGACATCAAAGAACATATATAAACCACTTCCAAAGACTATTCGCAGATGTACATGCTGACTAGACCACTGTTACAATCTAAGAGAGATGGAGTTTCAGTTAGATATCCTTACTGGTATTTAAGGCCCACCACCTAAAGACTGAAAAACCTGAACAAAGCAAACCTGAATTTTCACTAAATTCCATAGCTTTCGACAGAAGAAAAATATTAATCTGTATAAGCCACAGACCAACCCAAGATACCTGCATGCCTGCTTTGGAGCTGAAGATTATTTTGATCCATCAGCACGCCTACAGTGTGATCACAGTGCATCTAGCCACTATACTTTTATTCAATAGGCAATTATACCCAATACACCAGCTGGAATCAAGTGTTCAGTTAGTTCAGTGATCTTTAGCACACAGCATAGCAGAGTCCAGTCCAATCAAATTAACTATGCTCTTCTAAAAGGCAGCTTTGTTCTTTTTTATCAGAGCTGTGGATTAACAGTCCTATAGCGGAGCTGGGTATTCACCTCTGCAGTTAAGTACTTGGAAAAAAATTCATTCCCTGCTTACAACTTAAGTACTGGTCCAAGAAGTGAAATGCTGGTTCATCAGCACAGATCTCAGTATCAAGGCTAGTTAAAGCAGCTTTGGCTGCATTTGAAAGATGAAATCTATGGATAAGAAAAATCACCCATCTCTTTCAAAATCAACAAGGCCCACAGAAAAGTCTCAACAAAGGAGTTACAGAATTTAACCACCTTGATAAAGTAGTGCTGGAGTATTTATTTCACCTACACTTCCACCGACAACAGAAACAACAATCAAGCTTATACTCCAAAGGCACAAGCTTACAAGGTCACCATCAAGTGCAGTAACAAAGCTGCAAGACCAACACCACAGCTGCTGTCAAACTGCTAATTTAGTGTCTGATTAAAGACATTTTCCACTGATAAAAGCAACTTTTAACTGCAGATGAGTTTTAGGTGTAACCCTGGAAGCCTGTGTTCCCATACTCCAATTGGGACACACATACACAATGACAATTAAGCTCCTGCTTAAAAGCCAGCAAAGACCTGGAGAGGAACTAATGTGAAAGTTTCCATCTACTCTCATGTGGAAGGTCCAAAGTCTCGGCTTTGAAGCCTAACACTTAAGGTTCAAAAGCTCTCACTACAAGAAACTGAGCTGCTCCAAACTAGAAAGCTGTTAAACGTACGTCACAGTACAACAAACATCAGCAGTACCTCAGACCCTCTCTTTTCCCCATCAGAGAATTACAGTGATAGGAGAGACTGAAGGATAAGCATACATAAGAACACCGTCCTTCAGACTTCAAGGACAGAGCCAACAAATCTGAAGTTATTTGCAACTTCTTAGCTAGTTTCTGAAGAAATCAGAAGGCTGGTTGTGATTAAAGAATACAGTGCACAACTTAAGGCATACATTTCCTCCCCTCCACTTTCATGGAAGAGGCTGTGGTTAGGTTAAGAGACCACTGAAATTATAAATAACTACCCCCTTCATCACTCAACTTGAAAACAGTTGTTTGTTCTTGTTTGGGCTTTTTATCTCCCAACTTCCATTCTTCTATCAGTGTTCCACCCAATTTTCAAGTAGGGCTTATTTTGAGCAAAAGTAATAACCTCAGACGTAAACTTACCAGTGGAAGGCTCTTGCCAGGAATATTAGGAAAGTCATGATGTTCATTGTGATAGCCAACATTAAAAGTGAGCAAATTAAGTGGCCCGTAGTAGGAATATGTCTCATGTCCTTTCAAAAACATGTAATGTTCAGCTATGAAATGTCCTGAAATTGGGTGCAACCCAAGTCCAAGTACTGAGCCAGCAAGCATGTAAAATGTGGATTTAACTCCCCATAAATAATATATCACGACATCAAAGGAAAGTTGAGCCAACAAATTGATTATTTCAAGTCGAGTAATAGGTTTGGGATTGATGCAGAGAGGTCTAATCGCATAGAAAAATGGCTGAAGAACAATCCATATGAACTTCCTAAAACGGGTGCAGAAAAACCAGCCTTCAAAGTTGGTAGGAATGTCCACATCAATTCCATCGCCTCCCAAATAACGATGATGATCCATGTGGTATCTCTTGAAGGATATTGAGTATGGGAGGCCAAGAGGGAGGTTGGCAAATATCCCAAACCATCGATTCCACATTGCTTTGCTGTTGCCAAAGGCACTGTTATGGGAGATCTCGTGAATCGCCAGAGTCATGGAGTGGCTAATACAGCTTCCAAAAACATATGCCCAGAAGATTACCCATTTCCAGTCCAAGTCTTTAACTAGGTAAAAGGCAGTCAACTGTGCAAGAACCATCAGCACAACCACCCAGATCAAGTTGTAGTCTGGCTTCATCAACGCTTTAATCTCTGGATGCTTCGCTAGATGGGAAAGAATTCAGTGGAAAAAAAGCAGTTATTTAGAAGCTCTCCTCACAACCAGTTAGATTACAAAAGCAGATATAGCCATTCCTTCCCTTCCTCCCAGTTAGGGCTGTCTGCAAACATGATGAAGCCCCACCAACTTTCCACTTGTGACATTTACTGCAATAATGAATCCTTTCAATTTAAATCATTTTAGCGTATTTCTGTTGCTTAGAAACCAGACATGTACATGACAAGCATCAGTACCACCTCCGGCTACCCGGAAAGGAAAAGCCTTGAACTGACAACCCACCAGCAATTCAGAAGGGCTGATTTTGGCCATCTCGCTTGAAAACGCGGTTCTTCGCCACCACTCCTGCGTGCCGCGGCGACCTCTACGCCCTGCACCCGAGCTATTTATACCGACCACCAGACACGTTATCAATTATTCAGCTCGCTTCCTACCGCACGCAGGGCTCCGCGGAAGCGGGCGGCGGGCGGCGAGCGGCCCGCAGGGAGCGAGGGGACCCGCATCACCCGCGCCGCTCCGCAGCTCGAAATGGAAGCCCGGGCCGCCCACCCTACGTCTGGGGCTCAAACGCTGCCTCCGCCGGCAGCGAGGCGCCCCCCGCCTCCTTCTCCTTCCCCTCCCCCGCCGCCAAGGTGGCGGCTCCCGCCTCCACAGACGCGGCCGGCGCCGCGCCGCTCCTCTCACTCGGCCCGGGCCGGTTGTGGCCCCGGCCGCACTCCGCCACGCTCGCCTGTCCCCACGCTCCAGGTTCCTCTAACGACCAGCGGCGGCGGACGGGCTCTCCCCACGGCGCCCCTCGGCGTGGGCGCCCGGCAGCCATTTTGTGGGGTGTCCCCCGCGCCCCGCCACGCAGCCAGCGGCAAGGAGCGGCAGCACCGCCGCCACCTCTCCTCCTCACCCAGGATCTCCTTGCGGCGGTCTGCATGAGGCTGGTCCGTGTAGACCCACTCGAAATCCTCTCTGGCGACGGTGTTGCCCATCTCGGCAGCGCGGAGCCCGCTAGCCCGTAACCGCTCGGCCCCGTTCCGCAGCACCCAAACCGCGACACCCACCCTCCCCGCTCCGCGCTTTATAGCTCCGCGGAGGCGGCTCGGCGGGAGTCCCACCCACCACCCCGGCCTCGCTCCCCATTGGCTAGCTGCCGGCTGTCAGGGCTGACAGGCCCCGCCCCCGGCCGGGCGGGTCGAGGCGCGAAGCGGAGCCGTCGCCTGAGGGGCCGGCAGCTCCTCAGTGCCGGCCCCAGTCGAAGGGCGGTTGTGTCAGCCCCCTTCTCACGGAAAAGGTGCACATTGATCCGTCCTGCGGCCGTACGGGCGGGCTGCGGCTCTCCGACCTTCCCCCTGGAGGCGATCTTGGCCGAGGGGCCGGGTGAGGGCTGAGGGGGCCGTGACGCGGTGCCGCCTCAGGGGAGCAGAGAGCGGGGCGGCAGCCTGCCCCTCAAACCATCAGTGCGGTGGCCAGTGCTGTGGGTGCCCTTAATAACGCCTCATGAATAAGTGGTATGTAAGGAGGGAGAGAAAAGTCTCGGCTTGTAGCGCTACCCCTGACTCCGGCAGCCCTCCTGCGCCCAGACGCTGTGGAAACCCGGAGCTCCTTCATGGCTCACCGTGGTAGAGAGGACGAGCCGGCTTCATGTTCACACACACCCCGCCCCGCCGTGCGCTGCCTCCTGTCCTCAATGGTGCTCATGCGGGTTTAGCTGCCGGTGGGATTTCTGCCCCCTCGGTGGTGACAACCTGCCCAGAGGCCGCCGCAGACTGTCGAGTAGACTCATGCGAGTCGCTTTATTAAGACTGGAAACAAACCGCATCTTCCAGTGGCTCTTCAAAAAGCACTTTTTTTTTGTCCATAGGTGAGAGATGTGTGGTTGGAAGAACTAGCTGTCATTTGGCCAAAGTCTAAACTTCTAAAAGCTACCTAAAGATACATCCTCAGCTGCAACTCCAAAACACCTGGGCCAAGGTAGGTCTCCATTTTCTTCACTTTTTGTGGTAAGATATTTTAAGAGCTTTGACAAACTTCTCTGTGAGAGCTAAACTCCATTTTATCTCTCCCTGCCTCTATTTTGCATAAAATACTGACTGTGGGCAGTTCAGTTACAAAGACTGCTTTATGTAGCAGTTAGAATGAGTACTTGCTTGGAATTTTAGTTGTTCTTAATTCCACTCTAATGATAGATAAAGCAGTAGATGCCTCTTAGGATTGATAAAACAATAGACATCACTTATGATAAAGTGATGGATGCCTTTTATGATGGAGAAAGTGATGGTACCTCTATGATAAAGGTATAGATGCCTCTTATGATGGATAAAGGGATAGACACCATTTACATTAGTAAAAGTGATAGATGCCTGTTATGATAGAGGAAGTGATGGATGCCTCTTACAATAGATAAGGTGATAGATGCCTCTATGATAGATAAGGTATGTAAATCAATAATAAGTGATAAAAGTAACAGGAAGTTGTCACAAAGTAAATTATACCTGATGTATGAATGTAATATGAATATCTCGAGGTTCATGATGCATCGCTTGAAATTTATTGGTAATAATGAATAAAAAAGGCCAATAAGTATTACCCCATGTGCAATGGTGCAAATGCAGTGGAAATACAATTCCTACTTGAAAATGTTTACAACCTAAAGTAATGGACAAAGCACAGGATCTCTAAGATGAAACAGCTTTGCAAATATTTTTGTTCACACACATTTTTAATCTGTGCATATTAGGATGTGAATTAGAAGCAAAAATGGGAAGAGTGGAAGAAAGATGGAAAAGTTTATTCACAGCTCCTCTGTCCATAGTCACATGTGAGGAGTGGTGCAGCATACACAGGAAAATCAATGTTTCTATTTCATCAAGGAATTTTCTCCTTGTTCAGTTTTACTTCTTGCTCAGTGACCACTTCTCAATAAACCAGGAAGTGCGTTTGAGTTACCAGAGCAGAAGTTGTTTGCAAAATTGCCAGGATCACAAGTGTTTCACTCAACATCAAAAACGGGTGACATTGGAATGGAAAGTTCAATTCCCAGCTCCAGCTTTGGACGCCATGGGTCTGATGGACTGGTTGAAAAACAAGTCTCCCTTGTTCCTCAAAATGTTCCCTTCTCATTGTAGCTCAAATATTAGCACTGCACTAAAAACCTTCTCAACCATGGGAAGGATCCTGCAGAGAACAAAACGTGGCTGCGGCTAAGAAAGGTCATAGCTACGGACAGGAGCACTGGAGGGAAAAAAAGACACGGGTATTAAGAGTTCAGTACGCAGCAGCAGGTTTACAGCACTGCAAATTTATATAGGTTTGTAAATGGTCACAAGTTTCAGTAGGGTAGTTAAATAGATTCCAGATTTATAAAATAAACATTCCATTGCAGCTAAACAAGGCTTAAACAACTAAGAAAAATATTAAATAGGAAAGTTTTGGAAAATATAATTGCCCAAGTGTCCTGGAGTGCAGTGTTTTTCCTAATCACTGAGCCTTTCTGGTTTAAGCATTCCATGTAACAAATCCAGATTGGGTCATCAGCAAGGTAACAGGTTTTGTATGGAACTTTCCCTTCTAAAGACGAAGATAATCCAGTACCTAGCATGTCTTCAGCTGGCACAAAGCTAGAACAAAAAATCCCGGAGTGCTCAGTTACACATAAGCCACAGCTGGCAGCACATCCCCATCCACCCAGGAAGGTGAGATCCAGCAAGTACAACTGCGAGAACTGAGAGTACATGGACAAGTGAGCTGGTCAAAGAACAGTGCAAAGCAACATAGGAATGCAACTAGAGAGTATCAGAACAGTAACAATTAGCAGATGTGTTGTGGTAAGATACTCCAAACTGAATTTACCTATGAATGAACAAACTATCACTGCAATTTGCCAGTTACCACCTTAAAATCATCAGGAACACTAGGAAATAGGTTATCCTTGCTTGTCCAAACACACATTTAACTACTTCTTGCATCACCCTATTTTCCAAGAGGCTCCTGATGCAGAAAATTCCTTAGGTGATCTTAGCAGTTCCCATAATTAACTGTTAGAAGATCTTAGTAAGAGCAACAAAGCTTCTGTTCAATAGTCTTACCTTTTACATTGAGAAATTATGTGGAGGCAAACTTGTAACATTAATGAACTTCTATGATTAAGTTAATGCGCTGAGTATCAGGAATTCAAGACCCTACCATGAAACAAAGAGCTGTTACAAAGCAAGCTGCTGTTTTAAGACTAAAAAAAAAAAGCAAGCAAGCTCAAGAAACAGGAAAGCCTCAGGAGTTTTAAGCTATTTTAAGAAACAGCTGTAGAAGACACTTGGCTTTCCCTGTCAACCCTGAGCTGTACTGTTTCAGCTGTTGCTACAAGCGCTAAAACTGAAGACACTGCAAATAAAATTTTTTATGTTAACTTGTAAATTACATCTTAGTCTCACTAATCTGAGGTTCTACCTTGAACAGATTCTGTGATCACTAATTGCTACTAACACTGTACTTTTTGAGGCTGATATACCAATTCATGTAAACCTGCACAGAAATTTATAGTCAGAAATGATTTAATTTTACTTCAGGCTATTTATCAGCTTGTTCATGCACCCTTTTCTATTTAGTAAGGGTCAATATGGGGTCAGAAATTCATTTTCCAGTTATTCCTCTACTATTTGTTTTCCATATTCTATCTATACCACGAGTGTATATTCCAGTCTGAGAGTCATCTCCCTCCCTCCCTCCCCAGGAAGTGAAAACAAAATAGTAGCATACCTTTGCTGTGACATTTCTTGGAGATTGTTTGTAACAATCCCCTTCTACCACTTAAGTTTCATGGGGCTCATTCAATTTTACTATATTTGGTAGCACACAGACGATCAGGATACACCTGCAAACTTGCAGCACGTGATACTTCCTTTAGTTGAAGGTTCCAACTTGGCACCATTCACAGAGAATGTTTCATGTAACAATAGGCTGTTGTTGTTCTTTCCAGCTCAGTTTACACGTGGCTTACACACAGATTCACAAATATATTAATACGAATAACCTGAAACTATTTGTATACTAGGGGGGAGGGAGGGAACCGTTTGCATCTTCTAGAATAAAGAAACTGAAGTGAAAGATATTGAGATATATGAATTAACCTTTTCAGTATATGCAATTCCTATTTAACCACAAATATGGGGTAGTTAAAAAACTCCATCAATTTGTCACCATGAATGACCATTAAATGAATTTGTATCAAATGATGGACAGCAGTTACAGCTATCATTCCGAATCTTTTGAGTCAAGATTATTTTCTAAAAGACAAAATATATGCTTTTAAACTGAACAGCAGATACCTACCTTAAAGAGGTCCGTAACAGTAAAAAAGGCAATTTACTCCTTTAACAGTTTAACCTTTCCCTCAGATAACTTTGTATCACTTCCTGGATGCTTCTTTTAAGCAGTATGTTTGGGTTTTTTTTAAAGGACACAAACCACCCAACAAGTTTATTTAAAAATTAAATGTCTGCTAAATATTAGGCATTTGCAATGTTACTTCTGATATGAGCTAATATGTTTTAGAAGTAAAACTTGTAGCTGAAGTTTTAAGGAAAGGTTGCTTTTCCCCACAATCGTGTAACATTTGACCAGACAATTTCTGCTTTGTTCACCGATTTAAATACAACCACTACGTGATGCTGACAGCCACATAAAACGTATGAGAAATTTGCACTTTAACTCATGGTAATAACAGCAAGATTCTGACCAGCTCCAAATGCAGTATTTGCATTTTCAGTGCCACACCAATTTGAATTCAGTACCACCTAAACACAAAGCAGTAGCTAATTAAAAAAAAAACGTAAGTCAAAGGATAAAGCTACATAGTTTAGTACATTAAAACAAAAACAAGGACAATGGTATTTGTATAAAGTTCCAAAAATATACAGATGGGGGAAAAAAAATAAATCACTGTACACAACTCTGAGGTTGTTAAGGTGATCAGAGAGACTGAACAGTGCAAGACATGCTTTTCCAGTTACAAGCTCAAAACAGAGGTGCAAAAGAAATTAAAGCTTTGTCTGAAGTGATTTACTTTTTCGGATAAGGAAACTGTAGAATATTGTCATCAGCGTTACAGAGAAATTTCCACCCCACCCCAAACACATACACACATAATAGTTGAAGTTTTTCCACAATACAGAATTTCATTCAAACATGTCCCCCTGAGCTTGGGTATTCTGGGGACAATTTGATACTGATTAAATGTTGGCCTGTGAATCAAGTGATCTCAGTTCCCCAGCTCTGCCTAACCGTACCTGTGATTTACAGGCAGTGAGAGAGGGAGAGCACCGGGGTTCAAACTCACCTGGGTGAGACCACATCATTGTCAGAAAGCAGATACTAAGCTATGGCTGAGGAACAAAGAAATTGCTTTATAGGTCTCTGCTCTCTCCCAGAGTTCTGAACAACTTCAGGCAAATGCTTTTGGTAGGCTGACTAAGCTGCACATGCATAAATCCATGCAAATGTGGAATATGACTCCCAAGACCAACATCCACGGGGTGTGCATGTGAAGACCAGACAGAGGCCTTTCCTTTTAAGTTTACAAAAATACATAGCCAATACTGTAGCTTAAGAAGTCAGTGTTACTTGTTACAGAGACCCCCCAAAAGTATTAACTACTTTTCAGACATTCCAGACAAGGTCACTTTTAACAAAAAAAGTTCAAGTTCTCTAAACCAAGATTTTACAAATGGATCTTTGCTTCAAGTGAACAGGACATTTGTTTTTATGCTTAACTTTTTAATCAGTTAAGACTGAATTTATTTAAGGTTTTTATTTGAACATATGCATAAACACAAATAAGTTTACTTTAAACACATCGGCACAAAAAAAAGTTACCCTCTCAAAACATAACAGAGCAGGTCTGGTTAGTATGTAACTGTTGCAAATCTGAAAGATTTTGTGCATTAGGCCCATCCATACAGATAGCAGGGGAAAAGTCTCAATGAAAGAAAATTACTGTTCAAGTCTAAGTGGTGTTTTGAAGAACCAGCAGCCTAAGTGACACCATGAAGCTAGTCACAAACAAGCAGACCTGCTTGGGCTACTAAAGATAAGTGTATCCTCCTGAAAGTGTTGTTTACTCCCAAGTTATTTTCTGTTTCGAAGGCGTTTAGATTTCCTAGGACAGTCTGTGGATTCAACCGTCTTCCTCCGTTTTCTAGGAGATTGTTCATTTGAGCTGGACCCTGAAGAATTTCCTACTGTGCTCTCCATCACATCTCGCAGCTTGCGTTCAAGCTCAGCCAATCGGGCATTCTGTTCACCTATGATTTGGGTTTGCTCAAGCAGTTTCTGATCTTGATCTTGGAGTTGTTTCTGTTGCTCTTGCACCTTGATGCGAAGCTCTGAGATTTCACGCTTTAACGATGTCAAGCCTGTGCCATTTGCTCTTATTTGCTGCTGGAGTTTAGTGACTTCCTGTCTTGAAGGGTTCTGCTTGGAGAAAAGCTGCATTGTTGTCAGTGCAGCAGAAGGTCCTGGAACTTCAGAGAAAATTGCAATTAATCCTCTACAACTTTAAGACAGAAACTGTGTCCCAGTTTTCATATTTTACTTATCCCTACTCCCCAAACATAAATCTGAATATTGGTTGCAAGTTATGTGAACATGTCAACATATTTACAGTTACAAAGGTAGGCTTAGAAAATTGGGGCTGTTCAGCCTGAAGAAGAGAAGCTGTGTGGAGACCTCATAGCAGCCTTCCAGTATCTGAAAGGGGCCTACAAAGATGCTGGAAAGGGACTCTTCATCAGGGATTGCAGTGACAGGACAAGGGGTAATGGATTAAAGCTTACACAGAGGAGATTCAGGTTAGATATAAGGAAGAAGTTCTTTATCATGAGAGTGGTGAGGCACAGGAACTGCTATCCAAAGAAGTGGTAAATGCTCCATCCCTGGCAGTCTTCAAGGCCAGGCTGGACAGAGCCTTGGGTGACATAGTCTAGTGCGAGGTGTCCCTCCCCATGGCTAGATGATCTTAAGTTCCTTTCCAACCCTAACCATTCTACGATTTAAGTGTAAAACAAGAGCACATGGCATCCCAGAGCACAATTAGCTTAATTTAAAATACGTAAGATTCTCAGTAGTGTGGAAAACAGCTCATCATTAATTTTCTGTATATAAGCTGCCTGCCTTTTGCTGTATGAAAAATTACATAAAGACACCATCTAGACTTAGTGTTAACAGATGTTAGGTCAAAACCCAACAACATGTCTATAAATTATTTATTACAAAATAGTCATATATATATTTCAATGGAGGAATAAAACTGTGCTGTCTTAGTTGTGGACAACTAAAGCTCTAAAATTTTGTGGTTTGGGGCTTAACAAGGGTTAGCAAGGTACCATACTTGCACTTACTTTTTGGACGAACACATTTTACTTTCCATTCCTTAGAACGACTCTTCCTAAACGCTAAAATCATTCTAGGTTCTGCGCCTGGGAATCCTGATTTTACTAAAGATCCTGCAAATCAAGGACACTAAAAGCTACAGAATAAGTTATGTCTCTTCATAAGGTATCTATCACTTTATCTATCATAAGAGCTATCTATCATAAGAGCTATCTACCACTTCCTCTATGGCAAGAGGTACTTACCCCAAGAGACATCTATCGCTTTATCATTCCTAAGAGGCATCTATCAATTTATCTATCTTAAGAGGATCCTGTAAAAGGTATCCATCACTTTATCATAATAGGCCTCCATCACTTTCTCTATCATAACAGGCGTCTGTCACTTCCTTTATCGTTAAGAGGTACAGACCACTTTAACTATTGTAAAAGGCATCTATCACTTTTATCATAAGAGGTGCCCATCACTTCACCATCCTAAAGAGGCACCCATCACTTTATCGTAAAAGATGTTCATCACTTTCTCTATCATAAGAGGCATCTATGACTATCATAAAAGTCATCTATCACTATCAATCCTAACAGCCATCTGTGACTATCATTAAGAGGCATCTGTCGCTTCATCTATCGTAACAGGCATCTATCACTTTATCATGAGGGGTCTACCACTATCATAAAAGTTGCCCATCACTTCGTCATAAAAGTTGCCCATCACTTCGTCATAAAAGTTGCCCATCACTTCGTCATAAGGTGTCTATCGCCTTATCTGTAGTTAGAGGCATCCATCACTTCCTCTATCAAAACAGGTGTCTATAATTTTAAATATCGTAAAAGGCGTCTACCCCTTTATGCATCCTAAGAGGCGTCTATCCCTTTAGCTATCATATAGGTGCCCATCACTTTATCTATCATAAAAAAGTTTATCACTTTATCACAACAGGTATCTATCACTTAATCCTAAGAGCCATCTACCATGATCATAAAAGGCATCTATTGCCTCATCTATCATTAGAGGCATCTATCACTTCATCTATCTTTAGAGGCTTCTATCACTTTATCCATCAAGGAGGCACCTATCACTTTATCAATCCTAACAGCCATCTATTGCTACCGTAAGAGTAATCTACCACTTTATTATCGGTGGCATCTACCGCTTTATCTATTGTTGAGGCATCTATTACCTTATCTATCATTATAAGCATCTATCACTTTATCATTAGAAGCATCTATCAATTTATCTATCATAAGAGGCATCTATCGCTTTATCTTTCATAATAGGTGTCCATCACTATCATAAGAGTTATCTATCACTTTATAATAGGAGGCATCTATCCTATCATATACGTGTCCATCACTTTATCATAAGAGACATCTACCACTTTACCAATCCTAAAAGACATCTACCTCTTCATCTGCCAGTAGAGGCATCTTCTGCTTTAGCTATCATTATAGGCATCTATCACCTCATCCATCCTAAGAGACATCTACCAGTTTATCTATCATAGAGGCATCCATCGCTTCCTCTATCATAACAGGTGTCTATCACTTTAATTATCATAAAAGGTGTCTATTACTTTATCCGTCCTACGAGGCTTCTATCCTTTCATTTATCATATAGGTGTCCATCACTTTATCATAAGAGCTATCTATCACTTTATCAACCCTAAAAGCCACCTATCACTTTATCAATCCTAAGAGGCATCTATTGTTATCATCAGTGGCATCAATCACCTTATCTATCATTAGAGGCATCAGTTTATCATAAGAGGCATTTATCACTTTATCACAGAGGCATCTATCGCTTTATCTATCACAGAGGCACCTATTGCTTTACCTATCACAGAAGCATCCATTATGTTATCAATCATAGAGATATCTATCACATTATCTATCAGAGACACCTATCACTTTATCATAAGAGACATCTATCAATTTATCTATTATTAGAGGCATCTATCACTATCTATCATAGAGGTATCTTATCACTTTATCTATTATGGAGGCATCTATCACTTTATCACAGGAGCCATCTATTACTTTATCAATTCTAAGACCCATCTATTACTTTATCAATTCTAAGACCCATCTATCACTTTATCAATTCTAAGAGGCATTTATCACCATCAGTAGAGGCATCAATCACCTTACCTATCATTAGAGGCATTAGTTTATCATAAGAACCATCTATCACTTTATCAATCCTATGTGTTGTAGAGACGTCTATTACATTATCTATTATAGAGCTATCTAACACATTATCTATCATAGAGGCATCTTATCACTTTATCTATTATGGAGGCATCTATCACTTTATCAATCCCATGTGGCATCTATCACTTTATCAATCCCATGTGGCATCTATCACTATCTTAAGAGGCATCTACCTCTTTATATATCATTGAGGCATCTATTGCCTCCTCTATCATTATAGGCATCAGTTTATCGTAAGTGAAATCTATCACTTTATCTGTAATAAAAGACATCTATCACTTCACTAATCATTAGAAGCATCTATCACATTATCTATCATAGAGGCATCTATGAATTTACCAGAGGCATCTATCACTTTACCTATCATTAGAGGTAAAGTGATAGATGCCTCTATATCATTAGAGGCATCTATTACTTCATCAATCATAAAACCTATCTATTACTTTATCAAGAGGCATCGATCATTTCAACTATCACAGAGGTATCTATCACTTTGTCTATCATAGAGGCATCTTATCACTTTATCAATTATGGAGGCATCTACCACTTTATCAATCATAACAGCCATCTATTACTTTATCAATCCTAAGAGGCACCTACTGCTTTATGTATCATTGAGGCATCTATAGCCTAATCTATCATTATAGGCATTTCTCTCTTTATCTATCATTAGAGACAGCTATTGCCTTATCTATCATCAGAGGCATCACTTTATCATAAGAGGCATCTGTTGCTTTATCTATCATAGAGGTACCCATCATTTTATCTTTTGTAACAGGTATCTATTGCTTTATCTTTCGTAACAGGTGTCCATCACTATCATAAGAGGTATCTATTACTTTATCAACCCTGAGAAGCATCTATCACTATCATTAGAGGCATCTATCACTTTATCTATCATAGTCATCTATAGCTTTATGTTTTGTAACACCTGTCCAACATTTTATCATAAGAGGTATCTATCACTTTATCATAAGAAGTATCTATCCTTTATTTATCTTATGCGTGTCCATCACTTTATCAATCCTAAGCCATCTATCACTTTATCAACCCTTAGAGCCATCTACTCTGCTCTCTTGAGACCTCACTTGGAGTACTGTGTACAGTTCTGGTGTCCTCAATATAAAAAGGACATGGAACTGTTGGAGCAAGTCCAGAAGAGGGCCACAAGGATGATCAGGGGACTGGAGCACCTCCTGTACGAAGCCAGGCTGAGAAAGCTGAGGCTGTTCAGCCTGGAGAAGAGAAGCTGTGTGGAGACCTCAGAACAGCTTCCAGTGTCTGAAGGGAGCTACAAAGATGCTGGGGAGGGACTCTTCATTAGGCACTGTAGTGACAGGACACGGGCTGATGGGTTCAAACTTAAACAGGGGAAGTTTAGGAAGAAGTTCTTTACTGTGAGGGTGGTGAGGCTCTGGAACGAGTTACCCAAGGAAGTTGTAAATGCTCCATCCCTGGCAGTGTTCAAGGCCAGCTTGGACAGAGCCTTGGGTGACACGGGTCAGTGCAAGGTGTCCCTACCCATGGCAGAGGGGTTGGAACTAAATGATCTTGGGGTCTTTTCCAACCCTAATGATTCTATGATTCTGTCTATTGCTATCGTAAGAGACATCTATCACCTTATCTATCACAAGAAGCATCTATCACCTTATGTATCATTAGAGGCATCTATCACTTTTTATTTTCATAACAGGTATCCACCACTTTATCCTAAGAGGCATCTATCACTTTTCTGTGGTTTGAGACTTAACAAGATACTACTGTTTAACTTACTTTTTGGAAGAACACATTTTACTTTCCGTCTTTTACAACGATGATTCCTAAATCCTAAAACCAAACTGGATTTAGTGCTTGGGGCTCTTGATTTTAACAACCAACCTGTAAATCAAGGAGACTAAACATCTGTAACTTAATTGTAAGAAGTGTATAGCACTATCTTTCGTAAAAGGTATCTATTTCTTTATCTATGAGAGGTAGCTATCACTTTATCTGTCGTAATGGTCTCTATCATTTTATGTATCATAAAAGGTGTTCATCACTTTAACTATTGTAAAATTGTCTTATCACATTATCGTAAGAGATATCCATCACTTTATTGTAAAGGTTATCGCTATCGTAAGAGGCATCTATTACTTTATGTATCACAAGAGGCATTTATCACTATCTATCCTAATGGATTTATCTCTATCACTTTATCATAAAAGGTACATACACTTTATCACACAAGGTGTCTATCACTTTACTCTTCTAGTAGTGGCCTGTGCAAGGAAGGTGCAATTTTTAAGTGCTGCACAGAGAGTATAGTATGGAGCATCCTACAGGAACATCCTTTTCCTCCTGTTAGGATGCCAGCACAGTTATTGTTATGTAACACTCAAGGGTCTCCGTTAAGGGGGTTTTGCTCCTCCCTCAACACAAGAGAGGTATTCTTCTGTGACATGAAGCCTTGGCCTTGAAAAGCTGACTGACATCAACTATGGCTTTGGGTAATCATCCTCAACCAAGAGACTCAATGGACTTCAGGTATAACTACCAGGATATAATTGAGAGGTGGTATACAAACTGATGGCTAGAAGATGAACAGGACATACCAGAAACAACAAGCAGCTCCTACAGTCAAGCCTGTTGCTTTTACTTAGGATGTAAATATTTTTCATTTGTATTAAGTTATCTTTTCAGAGAATTAATTTTACAGTCCTCAAGAAGCGTGAAGATGTTCAGCACAGGGAAAATAATATGGGTACTAACCTTTTGCTTTTGGCCATTCTAAGAGACAACTACCTTAGACTTTGGTTCAGAAAAGTTCCAGAAAGTCTGACAGAGTACATGAAGGACCAGTTTAATTGGTTATTTATAAACTGTTATTGGAATTGCCTTTTTATGATTGCCTGTCAGTGTTTTGCGTGTTAGTGTATACATTAGTGCTCCGGGAAAGTAAAAAAAGAGAAGCACATACAAGGATGTTCTAGCCCTTTATGCGCTACAGCAGCTTAGGTTAATTCATTTGCTGATTGTCCTGAAAATAAAAGGCATCAAGTTGTCATCTCATGTGCCAAATTTCAACCAAGTGCCAACGATAGTGTCTCATTCATTGGTGGCACAAAAGCGTTTGTTTCATGAATACACACTATGCAGAATTCTAACATACATTCAAGTGACTGTTCTTTTGGTAGTACAAAGGCTCCTTAAATTTCAAAGCAAATGAATTTCAATTAGCATTCCTAAGAAACAAGTGTCATCAATGTTTATGTAATAAAGCTCACATTTAAGGGAGGGAGCTTTGAAAAGATGCAGTGCTGTAATTTTTAAACAGAAGAACAAAATAGATGTTACGTTGGAATTAATACCTGGGGCAGTTCCTATCAGCCGTCCTGATACATCTGACCCAGGCATCTTTCTTTTCAGTATTGGAACAATCTTCTCATCAAAATATTCCATAGCCATGGAGGAAATGTCCCTTAGTTCTTGGAGAACTTCATGAGCTCTCTGAGGAGCTCTTGTAGAGTTTACATATCTTAGCACACGATAAATTTCATCTATTACCTAAAACATTTAAGAAGAATTAGGATTTTATGGTAAAAGCACGATTATTTCAGACCATTTTAGAAGGCATATTCAGGGGCTTTTACTACATAACTATCGCATACACCGTGTGCTCAGTTCTAGATCAGCTTTTTGAAATGAAGTGCTGTTCATGATATATCAGAGAAGCTCTTCACTTGATCTGTCATAACAACTCTCTTCAAATTCATGGAATGAGGCTCATTGTGTGAAATGTTGTTTCACTACATCTATACTTGACTTATATAATCTATACTCAGTAGAGCATAGTAATTTCTTTCTGGAGAACCTGAAGCAAGTCACTTCCCCAGTAAGTTATGAAACACATGAATGGAGTAGCAAGAATTATGTCAGTGTGAACTGATGCAAATATTTATCTGAGTCCACTTGCATACACCCGGAATATTGCAAATTCTGATTAAGTCCAAAATATATTACTTTACAAAATATCAATCCACTACTGGCAGAGAACATAAGCACCCTCTTAATATGTTTGAAAAGCAAGCCCTTCTTGTAGGATAGAGAGAGACAAAAGGTGCCTTGCTAATCTATGAATTATAGCATGGGGCTGTAAGATAGGTCAATATAGGAGTGCTGGTCTCTTAGCACCAAAACTACTGACACTGGGCTAAGAATGGTTGAAGAATCTCCTGAACAGCACAGATATTAAGGACTTAGAATCATAGGTAAGATATTACAGTTGCATCTTCTGTTTTAATAAGGGAAGCTTAGCTAAAAGGTTGCAAAAGCTAGACAAAAGTCTCATCACACAATGAGCTTACCAAAGACTTCTCTAATTTAACCCACTCTATATCCCGTTAGCAACAACATCCTTCAAGCATCCTCAACAGGAAAATTTTCAGGAGAGCTCTGATATCACCAGGACCCCTCACACAGTATGCCAAACCTCAAATCAGGATTCACATATTCTAACACAGTTAGACAGTTCCTGACAGTTCTGTGGCAGCTTCATTCAAACAAAATTTTGTGGGGGGAACTAGACTGTAAATGAACTCTGAGCCTTGAATCTGTTGGCAGAGTAAGCTCATACACTATAACACACACACGCATACCCCCTTTTTAGCTGTTCTATCAGAATACAAACAAGGTTCTTATGACTCGTTACACACAAGGGAAATGGCTGGCACGCTCACTTGCCCAACACCTGCATACCCCAGGTCTAGCCGAGTATTGCCTTTCTGTCTACTCTTCACAAAAGTAAGGCAGTATTTCTTTTAAGTATTCCATTTATCATGCGAGAATCAAGGACTTAAGTTTAATTTTATATTAAAATTTTAAAAATACATGGCATATATAAAAAATAAAATCAAATAAACATACCTTAAATTATAATGATTTAAAATTAAATATCTAGTCACCAAGAGTATCAAGAGATCAAGTTAACCCCTCTTCAAGATAAAAATACATTTCATGCCAACAGTCTATCCCACTGTACTGGAGAAATGCCTGCCATGCCTCACCTGAACCCAACGTTTAAGTTCTCCACTCAGCCCAGTGCAATTCCATTATCTGCCCATGAAGAATTAATATCATCCACCATTTCCAAATGGAAAGATCAATGAATAGAGCATTAGGCTAATGTTCACAGATCTTGTTTCAACCCTGAGCTGTACCAGTCCTCCTCAGATCATGATTTTGTCAATTCCCCTGAGCACTTCCATTATCACATTTTACAAACCAGTGCTATCTCTGATGTACATCTCCCCTGCATAATTTATATTTTATGTTGAGGTATTATTCTGAAACACAGGAATTGTTCAGTAGTAGTCACATTTAGTACACTTTTAGCACATTAAAACTAATTTTGCCTACTGTACAAAAAATACCCCGATACTGAACAATGTTTCCCCATACTAAATACCTTAATTCAAATAATCTGAAGTACTCAAATCCTTAAGAAAGGTGCCTAAAATCTTCCTGACTGTGTGCTTAGTGTTACATGTAGTCCAAATTACTGCGTTTTCTGATGACCTGGGCTCCAGCCATTTTGTGGAATTAAAGTTGAGAATTAAACCCTACATATCGTGTGTTTCTTGTAAAAGGTTGTATAAGAGATATATGCCACAATTCACACATCAGAACTAAGAGATAACCTAAAGGAAAATTGAAATTGAGTTTAAAAACATTAATATTTAGATACAGTCTGGTTCATTCATTCCAGACTGTTATAGCAGAGCATTGGGTTGTGTGTTTGCTTGCAAGTTATGAAACACAGTTTCATATACACATTATATAAGTTTGTCCCAGCTGTCCCAAGTTAAGTTACACAACTATATTTTTTAAACACTGGTATACATTCACTTAATAAAGCATGTTTTACCTTTCCAGGTATGAAGCAACAGAGATTGGAATCCACATACTTCATGAAAGTCATATTTAACAAAGAGAGCCTTGTTTCTACAGCAGCAAGGATGTCTGCATGACGTGCTAATGAATGGTTTCTTCTTTCTGATTCCCGTCTAGAAGACAGACCATTAAGTGACACAGATTTAACAATGAGTCAACAAAATGAAACAGTAAAAATCACTCAAGTTAACTTCACCTGTAAAACCCTCTGAGGTTTGAAAACGTAACCACTAACATTAGTTCTGTCTGTATGGAAATAACCTGCTGTGGATTGAGAACCAGCTAGTAATAGCATACCACACTGAGACAGAATTTGTTCTCTAAATAATCACCTTATGTGATCCATGAACTCTGTATGTAATTTAGGACTATTTAAAAACAAACTTTCACTACTAACTAGCAGTAGACACTAAGTCAGTGTGAATATTTTCATCCTCCCATGTTCCTACAGTTAATACTTCAATGCAGCTGACAAATTTAATATATTAATAGTGCTTGCTACAAAATTGAGGTTGAGATGCAAGTTATTTTGACAAAGGATCTCTACAATAAACAACATTGAGTCTCTTCACTTTGAGAAATCTGACAGGACACAGCAGTAGCTACACTTAATTCATCATAAAGGGGAGAAAAAAAATATTGCTTTAAGTGAGAAACTAGCTCCCAGCAATGCTCACATGTCAAACTTCACTCCCTTTCCCTGTTTAATCCTTGACATTGAAAAAAAATTTGCTGTTTTTTCAAGCAGTCGTAGATAAATAAAGGGAGTCAGTCCTAAAAAAGAATGGCATTTATTCATTTCTAGGAGTCCTTGCTTGATTTGCCAGAAGAAAAGAGTAGCACATATCTACTCTTTTCTCTGTTTAAAACACCACAGACACTTTCCAATATTCCTGTACATAGTATACGACAACTTACATTCATCCACACCATTATTCTCTAATTAGATCTTAAGTCAAGGTGCTTTTGGGGGAAAAAATAAATAAATAAATAAAACCAACTGTGACTCAATTTTTCAATATATAAATAAGCAGAATTAGCCAGCAACAAATTCCTTTCCAATACTCTGCATAAAAGAATCTAGCACATTTAAATATAAGTACAGTTTTAACTGGTACAGACCTTGGAAGCTGAGCTTTAACTTGCTTTTGACACAAGTTGTGGTATCTTTCCACTTTCAGAAATCCCTGATTTAACATCCTCTGGCAAACCAAGTCCATTCGCTTGCAAACCTGGATTTAAGTAAAAAGAAAAACTTCATGCTCAATTAAGGCCACAAGTCACTTTTACTATTACCTTATCCATAGTTGCTGAGTGGTAAAAGATTCTCTTATTGTTTTTTCTACATTTTAAGAAGCAGAAACTGTAGTTAAGCTTAAGGCATCACCACCTCTAAAAAGGCTTTCTAACAAGGATACTCCAAAAAAAAGGCAGCTATGTTCCATGCAGTTCACAATCTCTGATATCATTATCTCCTGATATTGCTTAACAAGAGACAGGAGGCTGGATACCACCCATACATAAGCAGATAAAATTTTAATGGAAGTTGCAAATGCCTGTACCTGGCTTTTAACATTGTCTCCAGAGTGATTCTGGTAAATCAAGTTAATGTTTTATAGTCTCAAAAAAGAAGCTTTTAAAAGCAAGAAATCATGATGGGTTTCCTTCAGCATTTAAGGCTTATGTTTTTGAAGATAGCCACAATTAAATTTAAACATTTATGCAATACACTGCACGTGAAACAAGATTCCTTTGTGTATAATGTATTCTCTGTTTAACAGATTCCTTTATTTACCATGTTGGGTACCAACATGCCTCAATTTTTTTTCAACAGATGCAGGGATAAAAGATATTTATAGCTGCAAAAAAACACAACAACCAAAAAACCAACCCTCAATAAACGGCTACATTTAAACCTTCGCCATGTAACCAGTTACGAGACAAAGCCAACTTATACAAAAGTTTAAAGCAACTGCAGTTCAAGTCTGAAGATGAGTGAGGTTGGTAAATCAACTGCCCTTTGAAATTGTTTCTACTGAGTTTCTTTGTGACAGTTTTGGGTTGTTTTTTTACTGAAGTGCACAACTCCCACAGTGACCCAACTTTCTAATGGATTAGCTTTGGTTTTGTTGTTGTTTGGTTATTTTTAAATAAACACTCCATAAACTACTCACTTCATAATTTTAAAAGTTTATGTAAGTTTATACCTTGAGGTATAAACAGAAAAAGACAGAGATTAGGCTATCCATTTCCTTCCTTGAAGAAGAAGATTCTCACTTCTCCCAGAAAAGCCTACAATTATTTTCTGTCTATACGGAAGGCACTACTGAAAGTTCTACTTTCAGTGGGTGTTCTAGTCACAGCTAGTATAAGTTCTGTGAGTAAGAAATGACCATTTTCAAACAGATCTGTATTAATGGACCTTTAAGCAATTGCTGTGAATCCATCTGTGCTCCTTTGTCTTAGACCTTCCTTGTCAACAGCCAAAGGAGAAGAATGAGACAGGCTAACTATAGAGGCACAGTCTCAGCACTCTCTCCCGCATTCACTGAATCAGCTAAAGCATTTCCAGAGTATAAACAATAATGCTGGCCCTTCAACTACAGAAAGAAGGAAATTATCACGTTCCTTCTGAGGTATTAGCTGCATTAGGGATGCCTTAACCTGTTACCATTTTCAGTACAAGACTTCACAGCATACTCATAGTACTAATGCTGTCAAACCCCTGAATCAGGAATTAGCACCCACACAAAGGCTATGTTAGCTATGCAACTGTTCAGCACAAAAAAAGAAAACAATCCTCAATACCTTATTAAGCACAAATTCTGAGGAATCAGTAGTTTTAACCATGTGCATACTGACATCTGGTGGCAGGAAGGACCCTTCTGTCTGCAGAAGGCCTCCCACATCCAAGACACCAAGTCCCAGTGGGTAATACGAAATGCACTAGATTTTTGAACCCTGGGTATTTTTATTCTTCTTAATGCTGTGTAATGCAAGCAAATGGGTAATGCTTTGCTCCCATTTCTGGACATTACCCATACTTGTGTCCATAATCAGTCTAGAAGCCAAACACTAAACAGGTAACAGGTACCACCAGAAACTGAATGTTTGTCTGTAATTCATTTTATCAATCGCCTCTTAATTCTCACCTGGTTCATGGTTCATCATTTAAACTATACAGCATCTATATTTCTAGGAACAATATACCTCTTTTAGTAAACAAACTAACTGACACAATCTACTAAGCGACTGCTACCAGCTTCCCTTCCCTCAAGCATGCCTTACTTCTTCCAAGCTTCACCTGGGATCAAAACAGAGATAAAAATATCCTCATTGTATTTAGATTCAATATATATTTTTCTCCTTAGAGGCTACACAAACTCAGTGTTTCATAATGCCTTTCTGGGGTAAAATATAAGTGATAAAATGTTGATGACTTCAGCAAGAAGCTTTAAAATAGAAATACTCATAAATACAGATTTACAGCAACTAAGGGAAGATGAAATCCATGCTGTCCAAAGGCCCTCAGTCCTTATTTGTGCTCTGCAGAAAAGAAGCACAAGTTTGCTGAAGAATCTAAGACACTTCTGAAGTGTGTCAGAATCCATAACCTTCTCCTCAGAGTGTTCATGGAAAGAGTTCATAGACTGGTTTTAATCATGCTTGCTGTAGTAATAGCCTCAATGGAAGTGTATTTCCAAGCTCAGACATGCAAGTGGAATATAAATTGGATATAAAAATATCATTATTATCCACTCACGTAAAAATTCCAGAGCTTCTTTACATCATTAAAAAAAAAAATCCAAGAAGCCTTCAAAAGCTGGAATAGAGCTGGCTTCCATACCAGTGTACTAGGCTGCAGCTCATCCAGAACATCACAGCTTCAGACATCTGGATCTTTTGGGTTTTCTGTGTTTCTCTTATGATGACATATATGGGGAAGTAGATTAAGTACATACTCAAAAGGATGAAAGCCACTGCTTTTCCCCTCATTCGCTTTCTCGAAACAAATTCTGGTAACTCAAGAACTGCACAATTTTAGACAAGGCTGCTTTTTGAATACCTATTGTTCAGTCTCCATTAATTTAGATCTACTTCACTACTTAACCAGTAGTGCTTAATTTGTATTTTCAAATGCAGTAACATCAGGAAGAGCAGAAAGCATTATGCTCAGGAAAGCAAGTGCTCCTTTGCACAATGAGGGGCCCATAGTCTTGCCCTGCCTGACAGCAATCAGCAGCAGGAAATGTTCTTTGCCTTGGCCTTTGGGAACAGAAAAAGGCTTATGGATCTTAAGCCTTAGATTATGCTCCTCATCATGCTCAATATAAACAATAAAGGTTCCTATCTCTATTTTCATTTGAAAATGTTCTGATGTTCTGTCCTCCCACCCAGTCAACTCCTTAGTCTGTCTTCTTGTGCAGACTCCAGATCTAATGCCAGTTCAATTTAAAGATTATTTTTCTTTTATTGGAGAGGTACAGTACTCTAGAAAAAGAAGAGATTAGGACATCCATTTCCTTCAATGCTGGGATACAGAGAATGCATCCAAGTGATCAGTTTAGGGAATCCATGTTTTGTGTCTACAACTTTGAAGAAACTTTGTTTAGGTTGATTGCTCTCCTGGATCATAACTTCCTACCTTCCTCAAGATGCTTTATCCCAAGGACTGCCACATTTTAAGGGTTAATGAGGCAGCTTTTAGACACATTTTTAATATGCATGAGACCTAAGTAATTTAATCCCTGTCATTCAACTACTTTGGTCCTGTGAGGTATCTTTCGCAGAATACAACTCATTATAAGATACACCCATTCATCGTTGATAGCAGCTCAAGTCAGTTCTCATAGCGAAGAAAAAATTACTGTTGCGGAAGACAGATCTTAAGAGCAGGAATATACAAGTGCCTCCCAAGATTACTTGTAGCCTTTAAAAATCTGAAAGTGATGAAACCGCACTATGAATTTATGCCTGGGCATTGTTATTTTTAAAGGCCACCTTAATCCTGTCAACCTCATCTGGCATTATGCAAAACATCCAGTTTCTTCCTCTCAAGTGAGCTGCTAAGAGAACACCTTTGGTTCTGAATGGCCACACAAAAGCCCTAGCTGATCAGGCTTACGTGGTTATGAGCTGTACTTTTGACTAGGTCAAACCAGAAGGGCTTTGGTTCTCTGTATTACAGCTGGTTAACAAAGACAAGTGTGCTTTCTTCTCAGAAGAATGCTCATAATGCCTTCTGATGTGCTTAAGGGAACAGTAAGGAACTGGATGGATTTTAAGTTTCTTGGCTGTTACTGACTCAAAAACTAAAAATAGAGAAAGACCAACTGAATAGTTTCCTTCATTTTACGTCTAGCATTGTTCCCTCTGTGTGTCAAAGTTGGTATTTATCCAATCTGGGTTTGCCTATTTCTGAAACTTCTGAAACAAGCAGTCATGTGGGAAAATGAACTTGCAGGTGCTACACAAGAGAGCACAGAAATGTTTTATTTTACTTCTCAAGAAGCAATGAGTGCTCAGCCAGCTGGTTTAGCCCTCACACCACCATCTTTCCTATTCTCAGCTTCACTGCTGACAAAGCGTTGCTTACAAACATTAACTTAGAAAAGAAAAAAACCTTCTACTGACTGGTTACAGCTCCCACAGGCACCACAATTTATAAAATGCAATGGGAAAGTTGCAGCAAAGGGCTGTGCCTAGCACTGCAATACTGACCATGCAACACTAAGCATACCCAAACATACCTACTTCTTTTTGTTCAAATTGGAAGTACTTAAAAGCAGTGGCTGCAATCCAAAAAGACAGTGTTACATCTTTTTCACAGCTCTACCACCTACTTTCACAGAAGCAGCAGAAGTCTTTAGCAGACTGACAGCATGCTAGAAATATTTAGGTACTGGTGTACTTGGTGCAGTACGAGTAAGAACAGATTTTCTGCTTGAAGAGCTTTCAGTTTAAAGTTACAGTCAAGATGCAAGGTTGCTGATCCAGGACACGCATAGTCTAATTCTCTGCAGAAATATGCTTGCAATATTATCCAGTTTAGGCTAATAAGACTTCTTAAAATAGAAACAGTACATCCAAGTTTACTGAGGGTTACATAAGCTATGCATTAATTCCCTATTATTCCATTTACGATCTCATAAGAAATTCCGTAAGATAGCTGCTTGTCATCAGGCTCCTCAGGCCAGCAGTTAAAGACTGATACACACTGATCTCCTCATTGACAGCTGCACACCTTTTCTCTTTTTTTGCATTATAAAGTTCAGAGGTAGAAGTAGTATCTTTTATTAGATCTATTACTATGACTGGAAGAAGCAGGCAGCCTTTCAGGCACACAAGGGCTTTTTTACATCTTCTTTTTAACTCCACACTGATTTCTAGATAAAGCAGAGTCTTTGGAGCAGCAGGCTCGCCATCTCCTACACTTGTAGGCTTTAGCTCTATATGTTAAAATAAACATGCAGGCATGAAACACAATGGACAGGACCCCCAAGGAAAGCAGTTACCAGGAGAAATAAGACTCTAGCAGCCCAGTAGCTTCTCGCGGAGGACGACCGGAATGAAAGCAGCAGGGCAAAGTAAAAGACGTTTAGGATAGCCTGAATGAAGGCACACACCTACATCCCCATCACCCCCGTACCAGGGGCTGGGGCACCGCTGGGGAGAAGGAAGAAAGCCCCATCCCACCGGCGACAGCAGCAGCCCTGCGGGGGGCAGCCGGGGCCGCCGCCACCACCTTCGCACCTCCTCCCACCGCTGCTCCAGCCCCAGGGCCGGCGGCACCAGGGCAATGGGAAGGCATCCCCCCCCCGCGAGCCCAGGTCGCGGCTGCCGCAAGGCCATCGCCCCCCGTCCCCTACCAGGCGGAGCTGGCTTATCTCATCGTAGGACAGGAAGCTGAGGATGCTCTCGATCGCCACGATGGGCAACCCCATGAGCGTGTTGCTCTGAGGAGGCAGCTCCATGGGCGCCAGGCAGTCGTGAGGCTCCGAGACCGTGGGCGGGGAGAGCCGCGCCGAGCCCAGCGCACTGCCTTCCCCGTCCGACACCAACCGCTCCTCCGGCGCCGCCATCTTCGAGCCCGTCCTTCCTCCACTGTGGGAGGGCAGAAAGCCTTTCTGTGACGACACTTCCGCCCCCGCCTGAGCGTGCTCTGCCTCGGCCGCGGCGGGTTCGGCGTTGCCGGGCTGCGGGGCGGTGGCTCCCGGCCTGGCACTGAGCGTGGGGCTCTAAGCGGAGCAGAGGGTGCTGCGGGTTCCGCCCTGCCCCGAGCGGTCGTGACCCTGCCGGTGTTAAAAGGAGCAGCCGGGAATAAACCTGGTTTGCTGGGCGCAGTAAAAGCCTGGCGCTTGCTGTCGTGGGGGTTAAAAGCACAAGCAAGGTTTGATGAGCACCTCAGGGCGTGTGCCTGGTGCGCTGCTGACATAGGGTATATCTTAGGATGGTTTGGGTTGGAAAGGGGCTTAAGATCATCTAGTTCCAACCCTCTGCCATGGGCAGGGACGCCTCACGCTAGCATGGTGCCCAAGGCAGTTGGACGTGGCGCCCTGAGCTCCCTGCACCGGCAGCCTGGCCCCACACAACTGGGGGTTTGTGCAAAGCTATGGGTCTTTTTTCCTCCTGCTCTGTAGAAGAAGAGACGCAAGAGAAAGGTGGTTGAGGAGGCTGCAGAAACTCACATAGATAGAGGCTCTCCTAAGCAGGAAGGGATCCGCTATGACCACCTAGGCCTGCTCCTCACTCCATGCAGGCCAACCTAAGAGTTAAAACGTATATATATCTATATATCTCCAAATGCTTCTTGAATGCCAACTGGCTTGGGCCCTTGATCCCTTCCCCGAGGAGCCCATTCCTGTGCTGGCTCACCCTCCCCATGTGGAGCTTTTCCCTAACACCCAACCTGAACTTCCCCTGAAGCAGCTTGATGCCATCCCCTCACCCCCAGCAGCCAGACAGCAGCAACAGGGAGGAGAGATGAGCCCCTTCCTGAGGCAACTGTGAGAAGGACCTCCAAATCTTCCTCACTGCTGATACTCAGGGGTACGGCAGTGCTTCCTCCACACCACAGGAGCAGCGATGGCTGTGCAGGTACAGGAAAATACGGTTGAATTACAGTAGGGCATCTACAGGACGGAAAAATACCTCTGGAGCTCATGAGGCACAGCTACATGCTTCTTACAAATGTCACCCAGGCCTTTCTATCCCACATACAGACAGATGAGCGTTCCCTTTTGTGTCCAGCCTCAGCCTGCCCCCCCACTTGGCCAGGACAAGCAAGGGGAGCCCCAGTAGCCAGAGGAGCAGAGGGTGTGCAGGTCTGCTGCGGCTTTCAGGGGTCAGAGCAAGCTGGCATCAACTGCAGCTGCCTGCAGAACACAGCTTGGAACCAGACATCATTGAGGAGGTGAAACATCCGAAATAAAACAAACTCTGCTCCTGTATTTGCCTTTAATCCTGTGTATTATGGAGGTTTCTTGTCTGTAATAGCTGGGACAGCAAAGGGATGGGACCAAGGGCTGTTTCTAGAACATTCCCTGGTGCTTCAGAGCATGGTCACAGACACGCCGTAGTTTCACAACCATTTTAGCCCCACAGAACTTGGCACAGCCATTGAGAAGTGTGGCGCTAGTCTTCTCTCTGCCTTCAGCTGTGGCTGCTGCTTTTTTCCCCATCAGTAGCGTTAAGCGCGTGGGGAACTGGAGCTGCTGAAGACTGACTTGCCAAAGAAGATCACTAGGCAAATCCCAGAAGTGACAGTAGCAAAGCGTATGGGAAAAGGCCATACAATGTTTGGGGAGAATGGGACCACTTGTTGCAGTACCTGCACCAACGTAATACAGCTTAAAACATTACAGGCCTAAAGCGTTAGGTGGCTGCAGCATCCCTGTGCTGCTTTTTTCAGCTGTGCTTCTTCTCTTTGAAGGTTTATCTTAACCCACTTCTTTCATGTGCAGCTCTCCCCTCTCCTTGGAAACCCACCTGCAACCTTTCTCTTCACAGGAAAAAGATTGTAACTGCAAAAGAATCAACTTGGGAGCAAGGCAATGCAAGGGGAAGCCTTTATGTGTGTCATCCTAATGGCACTCCAAAAATGTGCGCTGAAATTAATATTTCCTTTTTGGGAGCAGAACACTCTGTGCCTTGTACGGATTTGGGAGTGTTTTGCTCCCCCCACCCCTCAACTGATCAATGCTGCTGTAAAATGATCTGGCTATCTTGAAACAAGGGGTTTATTCTTGTGCTTGATTTTAGGACCTGATCTCCTCTCACATGCACACTCAGCAGTTTAAAACACTCTCAGGAGAATTCTTCATAGAATCCTCGTGACTTGGCATGTGAAATTTGGGCTGGCAGTCCCTTAATGCTTTAAAAGCTAGTGGATTTTTTCGTCCTAAGCATATATAATTTAAGATGGTTTCCAGAATGATTTTTTGTTTTGTCTTATCATTTGGACAATTTGAGGTTTTAAGATACAGCTTGGTGTTTAATAAATGTAAGCTTTATGTTCTGTACGTTTACCGTATTACTAAGTAGAAAATATTAATAATATGCACTGTATATTTTATATTATGAACTACAACTATATAAATAGCTTTATAGTTAATAAGTCTGCTTCAGTAAGTAGGCTAATTCTGCTGCCTTCCAGGTTCTGATTCACATCCTTCCCCAGTGTATCTCATGTCATTTTTCTGAGCATGAATCACTTTGTATTAAATTTGCAAAATCACAGACCACACACTTTCACTAAATCCTCATCACAGGCTCTGTAGTGGCTTAACTTTTCAGTTACTGTGGGGTAGTGTGAAGCCAGACAACTTGATAATACTTCCTGAAAGAGAGGAAATAAAGTTATGTAGAGTCTATTGCATGTCAAATACCACACAAACATTTTGTCAGTGCTCATGCAGGATACAAACCTGCTTATTTGGGTTACCACTCATTTAGACTTCTGCAATGCTTGTAAGAGTTAAAAAAATCTTGAAATAACCTTAGTTTTGATTATACCATGTTAGTATGTATCTACACTGAACAGATTGAGCGTCTCAGCTTACTACAAGCTTATGAGACCATATGTATATCATGCTCCCAACTGATTAGAGTGTGGTCTGTTGAGGATGGCAAGGACTCCGAAATTCTAATGAAAGTACGTTTGTTTGGGCTTTGTGTGGAAGCAAAGCAACACCAAGAGCTGTGGTGGAGAGCCTTAAATACAAGGGAAGTTGTAGTAGCAAATGTGAGAAAGGAGAATAAATTCAGGAAAGGGGAGAAAGTGAGAAGCAGGAGCTAACAGGCAGACATCTGGGAAGATAGGGATGGGGAAGACACCTAGCAGCAGGGGTTGGAGTTGTGTAACTAGGTCAAGAACTGCCATGTTAATGAGGAACATAGGAGCAGAGAGGAGGAACATGCTCAAAAACTGAGGATAAGAGCAGAAGTTGGGTGGGAGGAGAACAGATTTGTTTTATTAAGTCAGTGTAATCAATAGAAAAATAGAAAATGCCTTCCCACATGGCACGTTTTCTTCTCTAGGGCAGCAGCAGTTTGCTCACTTTATGGATATTAATGTGGTTTTTTAAGAAGTTTGGTGTATTCCCACAGCTGTAGTTTCATTCAGGCTGCTGGACGCTGAGGTAAAGTCTTGCTTGCTTAAAGGTCTTTTTTTGAGAGGCATTAAAAAATAAATGGAAAAAAGAAAAAGCCACATTGAAATTTCCTTTTAGAATGTGCTTAACAAATGTAAATTTCACAGATCCACGTTTTGCAGCTGAGACTTTTGATCCTTTTGTAGGTAACTTAATAGTTTTCTTAGTAGAGTCAGGTATGAATGTAATCCCAGTTTAATTAAATCAACATATTTAAATCGACCTTTTGTAGTTCAGCTAGTTTGGGGCTCACTAGTGCTCCATGTTGCAGAAAAAGTTGGTTGAGAAACTGCCTCTAAAATCTACATCTACCTCGTAATTTATTTGTAATACTATGTATTGGGTATCTGATAGCGATCATAAGCTGAAGTTCAGAGGCAAAAGAATGTGATGCTCCCTGGGAAATTAGAAGTAGAAGCAAAAGGAAAATGGATATAAGATAGAACTAAAGAAAATACAACCTCTGTGGATTTTTCTCTGCTAAAAGTATGGGGACCAGACTAATCTTGAGTAGTTTTCGTAGGCTGAGCATATTGCTCAATCTAGCTTTCATTAAATATTTTCTTTCTGGTTTTAATTTCAAGAAAAAAGTGTAACTAAAAGTATTTTCAAATCCACAAAAAAGAGTTTGTAGACATCTAATATATTGTGCTTGGGAGATAAAAAAGGATGAGGGTTCAGACAAACAACCTTTCTATTGGAGTCAAAAAACCTTCCCTGAGAGAGGGCTGCAGAGACTGGATAGCATGTTCTCTTGCTCAGGTTACATACTCTCCCACAGCTGTACTCAGAACTTAGCTCGGTGAAAATGCATTTATAAAACAAAAATGGGGATTTCAATTAGTTTATGTGACTTTTGCTAATTCTCTGTATTATTTTCTTGTAGGATGTTTGAAAGCTCTAGGATGGAGAATCAGCTTCCATCATTAGGAGGGGCTCAGTTTTGATGTAAGTAAGTTCCAAGGAATTCCTTAGATTTTAGTATATTACCACATACTTACACTATGATAAAGATAATTCAGTGAAGACATGAGTAATGTCTCTCTGTGTCTCATCAGTTCAGCTCTGTGAAACATCACTGGCATGACAAACTGTACTAATAACGTTGATGTAGAAGAAAAACACAGCTCCAAAAGTGTTTCTTGTCACTTACAGACCACATACCTGTGTCTGCCAGGGTTATCTAAAGCAGAGTTTGATTTGCTGAAGCACAGGACTATAGGTCTGTGTGAGAAGGCACAAAGGAAATACATAGATTAACAAGGATACATACACAATTATGTGGTCTGCTCAGACCTCCAGTCACTTTACAAAAAAAAAAAGGAATCGTGGGGGCTGATCTTGAAGTAATTTTGTATTTTTCTTAAATCCTTCTGGTTTCATTCTCTCTTGACTCCAGAGGGACTCCTAGCATGAGCTAACCCTGGCTTCTTGGCAGCTAAGAAACAGGGATGAGGCAGCAGTAAACC